CTCCCTTTTCATCGCTCTCTCCCCCAACAACTGAACAATCCATGTCTCCGGCTGATTTCCGCACTCCATAATAAGACAAGGCCCCTCTCCCCCCCGAACCACAAGTCAACAGAACTCCCAGCGTGGCTCTGGGGAGCGAGAGGCCAGTAGAGGTACATTTAGAAATGTACACACATTTCCCCCATGTGCATACTCGTTCTACCGCTCTCTTCACCTCTAGGTGAAACGTTCTGTGAAATTCTCACCCTTCTCCCAGGCTTACACCAAACCTGGTCTTGTTAGCCTTCATTTTCAGCAGCCCAAAATAAACCATGGAGTAAACAGACAGATGAAATGAAATAAAGCAAGCGCAAGGCCTGACTCCGACGAGGCCCCAGTGGCTTTAAACCCAAGGACTGGTGTTTCATAATGGCTCTCCTCCAAAACAGTTTGCTTAAGGCTCGATTGTTTGTACATGAAAGTGGCTTGGGGATTTTCCAGCTCCTTCACCAAAGTCGCTTTGCCAGCTTGAGTCTTTGTTCCTTCAAGAATAGGGTACAGAGAGTAGGAGAGAACAGAAGATGCTCTCACTCTTTTTCCACTCTCTTAACACTCCTTAGCTCAGTGGCTCTGAATCCTTAGCAATCCATAGGTTGCGATAATTTAGTTTGAAATTGTCAGCATAGAGTCTTTAACGCTATGCTTAGAAATCAAACAGAAGAAAAAAAGAAGGAAGGAGAAAAAAAGACAATCCTAATACTTCAATCTAAAATGATTTTTTTCTGAATGTAATACAGCATTTTCTTTCCTCGTTCTCTAATGGCCACAACAAAAACATTATGCTACAGACAGACTGAACTTATGTATAAAACATTCATAAGAGGCGTTGACACTTCAAAACGGTTGTAGAAAGTGGCAAAAGACGGGATGGAATGGGAACTTAAGCAAGTCAGCAAAAAGACACGAGTCTAAACTAAAGCAAATGTCCACAATATTCTAGGCCACAGCGTTCACACAATAGAGGCCAAGATTTCACAAGCGATCTGTCTTCTAGTCCTAGTGCCTCTCTCTCTCTTCTAGCTTCAATTAAGCATTATTAGATTGTATTTTTCTTTACAAATCTATAGCAATATACATTTCTTTAAAGTTCTTTTTCATTTTTGAAGGGGTAAAGTCATTAGGTTGATATGTGTTGATCATGTTTCACTCCCGCTGAGCTGTCCACAGGAAGCCTCTACGCTTCCAGTGATCCTTCCACAATCCCGGTCAGAGATCAGCCCTGAGGTCCATTCACAGTTTTGGATCAGGCCGGCACCAGTTCAAGAGCGGACAGAGCGTCTCTCCCGATCGACTCCCTTCAGGCCTCAGAACAGCAGCGCTGCTGGTTGATCTTCACCTTGTGCTTGATGCCGTCGTACAGCTCGAAGTTGTAGTTCTCCAGTGTGGTGGTGCTGCGGGATGACAGGCCGTTGTAGGAGCAGGTGCAGTAGAGCAGGAGACCGGCACACACCGCCCCCAGCAGAACGCCCAGGGAACTCATGACGATGATGGTGACCAGGATGGGATCAAGGGTGTACAGCCAGGCGTTGTCTTTCTCGGAGTACCGTGTCACCGGAGGTTCTCGTGAGGGGTTGGGCGTGGTCCAGGCAGGGAAATTGAACCCTGGAAACAGGAATAGAATGTTTATCAGTTCATAAATTTCGCAAGTATCAATGTGACCTAAATAGTTTTTGGATAAAAATAAACGTAAGGGCTGAAATAAATGCAACTGACTTCACATGCCATTCATAGCAAAACATCATTTACTCAGTACATTTGCCTTGTTTTCCAGTAAAAATATCCAAACATACTTAAAACTAGTTACATTCACTGGAGTAGCGAAATTGTGTTGAATAAGACTTGTTTTCTACTATTCAGAAATTCGGGGTTATTCAAAAATTAATAAAAAAAACCAGTTATATTGTGAAATATTATTACAATTTAAAATAACTGTTTTCTATTTGACTATATTTAAAAATGTAATTTATTCCTGTGATGGAAAAGGTGAATTTTTAGCATCATTACTCCAGTCTTCAGTGTCATACATAGTAAAAAAAAATATTGTTGGTTTAACTTAAAAAAGTAAGTGACCTGGTTTACCTTAAAATTTTGAGTTAATACAATGAAGGAGATTGGTTTAATCAACAGAAACTCAAAATATGATGTTATCTGACCCACATTAATTATCTGAGTTTCATTTCATTTCATTATTTATTTATAAAGCACATTTAAAAACAACCCACGGTTGACCAAAGTGCTGAACAAAACAATATAGCCAAAGACAGAAGTTACAATCTATAAAAATACAGGCATCTGAGTTTATTTGACAAAATAAAGAAAAAAAATGTTGTTAAATCACGATGATCCTTCAGAAATCATTCTAATGAGCTGATTTGCTGCTCAAAAAACATTTCTTACAGGATTTTTCTTATGTTGAAAACAGCTGTGCTGCTTAATATTTTTATTCGTATCTGTGATAAAAATAAATAAAATTATTGCATTGGCCAGGCATTCACATCCGCATTTGTGTACATACTTTCTGTTTCTGGTCCATTTGTGTTTATTATTAAAATACACCAGTCTATGCTTGAAGGTTGATGAATAGATTTACCTTGACCAGTGCGCTCTCTGCCATTGAATAGACGATTATTTCCAAGGTCTTCAGGTCTTCGCTCTGTTTGGAAGACAAACACAACCAAAATGAAACACCCAATGTCAAATTGAAAAGAGGCTACATGAAAACAAGCTCTTTTGGTACATTCCAAGAAAACAACGTGTGCATTGTTGTTCCATGAGCCAGTAACAGCAGTGCAATGTATGAGCACAAAATGGCCAACATAAATAGCAAAAACTGTACACTGATGAGCACACAGACTTGGGTACAAACAGCTGCAGCGTCTGTTATACATCATCAAATACCCATAAAAAAGAGCACAAACCACTTTAGCTGCAGTTTGTAGAAAAATATCACTTTATTGTAACATTCCATACAACATTTCCAATACCACGAAATTCAACAGGCTAAAATATACCTCATACTGTATGTATTTAAACAGGCTGAAAATGCTGCGTTGTAGAGAGAAAAGAAAAAGCTTATATAGATGGCAGGGTTAAAGCCCCACATTCACAAAGGACAAAAAAGTGCACACAACCACAAACCCACCAGAACTTGATGCAAATTAAGCATAATGTCAACGTAATGAACATAAAAAATTCATGTTCAGCAAACATGAGTAAACACTTCAATAGACCGAACTGATTTAATCAAGTTCAAGATTTGTAGGTGGAATAGTTTACCTGTTTTTGAGCAAACATATAGAGTATACAACCTGGATTTTTTTTACATTAAAATTCATTTTATCCAGACGGACACTTTAGACGTCGACCGCCTTTTCCTGTCTCCGTCTCTGAGGAGGGGTGAGAGCATATGCTGTTTTGTGCAGGTACTATCAGAGACAGACTCTTGGCATCATATGGGCCCCCTCTGAGTGCTTTTGCTCATTAATATCTTTTGAGAGACGGCAAAAAAACTCCAAGCAAGAATGCTTACGACAGGCTTAAAATGTAATCTGGTCCATTACCTAATTAGAAATATGAAATGGTTCAAAGAAACCCTCAAAAAAAAAAAAAAAAAAGCCACAGTAGATTTAAAAACATATTATGATCAGCTGACAGGTCATTTTTAAGCAACTCAAAATAAATAGTAAAGAGAAAAACTGAAAATGAAATGAAATGAAATGAATTAATACATTCAGACTACAAAACAACATACAGAATCACCATTGTTTAGTCTGGGTTAAAAGTTTGATATAAATTCATACATTAATCATACAGGCATATGAAACATCCATGACAGAAAAATGCATCTTGCTCAAAACAAACCAGAACACGTGTCAAATGTAACTAAGGAATCAAGCGGTATAATTGCTCAAGACGAGACAAGACAATTTTGACGCTAGTATTGTTACGCATTCAATTGGGGCGGGCGGGCCACAGAAACTCAGAGAAGCGTGTTGCGTATCGCAAATTCTGCCTTAAATAAGTGAGAGGTTTCACAATATGGCGGTGCAACGGAGACCACATGACTCGAAACTGAACTGAACTGACGTCTCGCAAGCTACTGTGTGTCCCATCTCCCCAGAACACACTATACTGTATAGAGGATTAGGAAAAGAGGAGACAATGCTCCAACAATGTGCCTGGGTCAGGTGGTCTCTCTGGCTGTCTGCAAGGATCTTTCATGTGCTTTTGTGTTTCAAACAAACCCCTTCAGACCCTGGATTCTGCAGAGAAGGTCTATATTTAAAGTAGGCTTTTCTTTGATCTCGCCTTCCATCTCCCCACACATTCTTTCGTGAAGAGCAGATAAACGGGCGAGAAAAGGGCCAGCCTGTCCGTGATGGGGGATTATTTTCACCTATTGCCAGATGGAGGACATAACAAGATATCAGGATTTACTTTCTCCTTTCATCCCAGTTGCTTTAGATGAAGCCAAAATCTGACGTGGCTGCCTGACAGATGCTTTCAGTAATGGATGAAGCCTCAGACTCTTTATGTGTAAAGAGGAGAATGTTTTGTTGGGGGGATTTCCATCCTGAGCTCTGATGGCGCCTATTTTTATGTGTTTGTTTGGTGCAGAAGAAAACACTGAACACTATGTACTTGGACAGAACATCTCAGACCATATCATGTTTTTTTTTTTTCCAGAGGTATACCGCTACGTTTCAAGTAGCACACCCAGGAGATTAAGCGAATACTCGCAGCACACATTTGAAGTGCATTTTAAAACAATCTCCTGCATATATAGCATGTTTTGATACATTAAAGAAAAAAATCTGTAGCAAGATTGTCATATGCAAATAATGCTAATAAAACAAAATGCTAATTGTTTTTTTCCCCCCTGTCGGCTGTCTAACTCAACTGATAAAATGGCAAAAGCAACCCAAAAATACAGATAAGAGGTTGTTTAGTGATTCAGTAAGACATCAGCAGGTGTATTCAGTGACACTATAAAAGGTGGACTTGGAGATGGGCTTCAGCTAACATGCTAACGTGCCAACTCGCTCCCTGAAGCAAAATCAGCTAGCGAAGCACTCCTGCACTGTCTAACATTTGGCAGATTTACAAAGCTCTCCGCTTCTGTTCTTTTACAAGACTATGTGTAATTAAAATCTCTGGGGGAACAGCACACAAATACACATACTGCTTTTAGCGTTAGCTACAAAAATAAAGTCAGTGCATCAGTTAGCTGCATATACACTTAGGTTGATCTCGGCTGAGCATGAATACGAAAGGATTAAATAATAAATGAGAACAATGATCGGCTTGAACTAGCTCAATGCCACTGAAGCGTCTTAAGGCCAATGTTGTATCAGTCAGTCAGCCAATCAGAGGAGTAGGCTGGCTAAGGCGGGGTCATGTGACCTTTGCATATAGGCGGAAAACATACTGTATCTCTTCAGACGTACTGTAAGTGCCAAAGCCCCAGTGACTTTCAGAAAAGAAGAGTTTATATATAGACACATATTGACAGATACTCAAAATGAACTCTCTGAAAAAGAACAAACATTCTTCAAAATGCTTTTAAGAAGCTTCATTCAATAGTCAAAGAAGGTACCAGGAGTTTCAAAATTCAGTCCATTACGTGGTACCTAAGCCTTCCACACATATCCTGATTCTCCAGCTAGAACATTTGTCCCAGAGTGTTTGACATTCATGCTTTTGTTTCTTTGAAGCTTCTTGTCAAACTCCTCGAGCCTCAAGTGTTCCTATGAGCACATGAGATGCGGCACACATGCAAGGAAACGTTTGCCGGTTTTCCTTTTTGTTCCTGTTTTGACGCCTCACTCCCGTCGCTGTTCGCAGGCTCTCCTCTGATTTTGGCAATGCTGCCGAGTTCTTTTGACTGTACAATAGGATTGGTCATGAACAGGAGATTAGAGCTTTCATAGTAAGGTTCCCATCCACACACACAGCTAAAGAGCGAAGGGGGAAAGGGGGTCTCTGCCAGTCAGGATTTTGGCTGGATGTCCCTTCGGCACAGCAGATCTCCTCCTTTCCAGCACTAGAGCTCCACAAAAAAGTCGACAACTCAGGTGCTTATATCTGTCCACATCTTCTTCGCCTCATCCTCGACTTTAAGGGGGCACCATGCAGGTGTCCCTGTGAAATAGTGGGATGAAGAGATTCGTCGGTGTCGTCTCAGCACTGTGAGCAGGGCTCTTGGTTCTCTAACCTAATCGTTAGCATCGGCTCCACCCCAGGTCTGGCGAGACCCCCGGGGCCACTGCCAGCGTACTGTCCAGTGTACGTGCTCTGGTAGGACACAGAGTGCTGGCTCTTCTTGGCCGCCAGGTGGTAGCGATGGCAACACAGCACCATGACCAACGTGACGCAGCCCAGGAGGAAAATGGCGCCACCTCCGGCTATTACATAATACCAGTAGGTGGGCATGGGCTGCAGGGACACTGTCGTGTCCACAGTGGGGTCGCTCCAGCCAGGTGAGGCTCCCCCTGGTGGAGAGACACAGAAGAATTGGCTTGGGGTAGAGAGGCATGCAGACTGCATAGCTTCAAGCCATCTTGGATTGTATGTGAATGATTTTGCTCTGATTAGGTGCTGCATACAAACAAAACAAACACAGACACGCAAATGCACATGCACGTCAACGCCTGTCAGCGGCCCCTTCGCAGGGACTCGATAACTGTTCAGATAGAGTTTTGTCCTTCTAAATCACATTAAGAATGCAGACATGTGTTTCATGGGGTGTGAACAGATGATACATCTCAGATAGTTCACTTGAAATGTGATGATGCATTGTGGAATCTGTGCTAATTTCTTATGCAACCAAATGTGAAGGTCATAAAAGCATATTGTGTCATAAAACACCGGCTGATGTCAGCACCTTCTCAGCCGTTCTTTTGTAATGCTGTATTTTGGTGACTGTGTGTGTGTGTGTGTGTGCGTGTGTGTGCTCTGTAGTTTTTCTTTCTGGGAAAGTTTTGTTTTCTTGCATGCATGGATCTGTGCCAGCTTCATCTGCCTCAAGCCAAAGTCTTCCATGAACCCAACCCAGCAGTGCATGAAAACTGCTCACCCACCACATGTGTATACACACACACACACACCAATCTCTCTTTCTATTCCCTCCATGTCTTCTTACTCTCGTCTATGCATAAACACGCATGTAATCTAGGAATTTTGACTGCTATGGGAAAACGAATCTACTTACACTGGGAATCATTTCCACTTCAATTAAGAAAAAGGGAGTTAGTTACTAAAGGAATAGGATATTAGTGGGCTTGTGTGCTCCACAATCATTTAAAATGGAGTGTATGAATATTATTCCACTGCAGCTGAACCTGATTGACCGCAATCATGCAGCTGTTGGGGAATAAACATATGACATCCATAGCAGCACAGCAGCTCACACACACACACACCACCAGAACAATGCTTACACAAGGATAAGGTGTACCATCAACATTAGAGTGCTTAGCTGTTCTCAATGAACTAGTAGTAAATTCGTGAATGTCACCCCAGAGGAAAATGCTACTGGTCAGATATTGCTCTTTCATTGCTCCGGAGACTGAAACAGTTCTAAAAGAGTTCACAGTGATCATTTCTATCAACTTTGTCTCAGATGTTTCTTAAAAGTTCATAAGGAAAATGATGTGTCTATTTGTTAATTTTACATTCTGACCTGTGAAGCACCTTGAATAGCCATTTCTTTTTTTGTATTTAAAAAATATTTTCATCATTAGGATTTACTATAATTTACTACTACCACTACTACTATTGGTAAATAATATTAATATTATTATTATTTCCTAATAATAATAAATTAATAATAATAACATCAATAATTATGGTCTACTACGGCTTTTATTATTATATACTATTATATATTATTATATACTAATGAGAGATATTTATGCGCATAGCATGGCTTATATCATTTGGTTTGGGAAGAATTTGGTGAGAAATGTTCTTATTGAAATGTCAAGGGGTGACATACTGAGTCTATAAGAGACCAACTGAATCTATAGGCCACATTTGATGATGTTTAGCATGATAACGACACCATATACAGTAACACAGCACATGATGTGAGGCTACAGATGCATGCTGGGATTCAGCCCATGCTCCAAATGTCCGTATGACAATAATGATGGTGAGGACAATAACCATGATGACGGCAATGGTTTGGCATCAAGACACCAACGTCACTGAACGAACAACTAAACACATAAAATCCGTGTTGAATCTGACTCATTTAAACTTTGTTGTGGGATTGGAAACAGACTGTACAGAATCCCTGTGCGCTGCTGGTGTGAAGCTTAACCAAAAATACAATGATTATCAAAAGCCCTTTAGGTGATGCAAGCTGCTAGGCAACAAGCAGGAAGCACAAACATTGGCACAGGAAATGACAATATGCCAGAAACTCACCAGTCATTTCAGGGGGGAATGCAGCGAAGGGTTCTGAAACAAGAAAAAAATATGGATTAAAAAAGAAAATGGCACAAATAAAATATATTCACATAAATATCAACAGTGCAGTGGAAGTCTAACACATGCGACTGAGTGTGATTAATATTATACGAGTAAAATTCTCTAGATTTCTTATTCTTTGACAGAATAAATTCTTACGCACTGTGAATTCCACCCTTCTGATTGGCTAAATATATCCTAATATCCCAGGACACCTGTTTGAGTGATATCTGTCAGGTAGGGACATTTCCTTATTGATATTCATTAAAATTCCTACAGCCCCTTTAACTACAAATGTAAAATTATTAACAGAACTCCCCAGAAACACTTTAGCTCATCATAAAGACATTTTTTGGAGAGGGGTCTGAAATCACAAACACAGGTTAAGGAGAAGAAATAAGACAGAAAGAGTGAAGAAGGGAGGAGAATAGGATTGGGCTGTGTGCCATTTGGCAAACTGTGCCGCGCACACACTCAGACTGCCAGAGAAACAGAATGCCAGTTCAGAATGTTTGGAATGCAGTCGCTTTAAAAGGGAACTCTGCAGAGAGGCAGGGGACAGATTTGGCAGCGACGCAGGGGCTGGCGCATGCACACCGAACAACTTTAATTAATAAGAGAAGTCCCAAAGCAGGGGGCCTGTGAACGTGAGCGACTGAATGACGGCTCACATCAATATCTTGATTCATAACTAATCCTATTTTTGCTGATCATTGTTTAAATATAATATGTCCTCAGAGGAAAAGCAATGTTTTTGCTCAGTAAATAACCTTCACAGCATTGTGATTGACTGGCCGTGTAGCGAAGTGCTTTGTTCGACATTAATGTCTGTTCTGTGTTTGTGAAAAGCTACACCGTAGAGAGCAGGCCTGACTGGTTATTCCCTGGCATGGCTCTGGAAAAGCTCTGTTTACAAATAAGAGAGGAGAAGGAAAAGAAACTAATGAAACATAGATTGAGATCAGAGCCCACAGGGCGAGTGTGGCCTAGTTTTCAGCTTTTTGTGTGAGCCGAGCACTTGAAAAACACTTTCTATGCGATTCATTTTTTCTTGGGCTTGAATGGGAAGAGTAGGGTGGGCAAGGAAATCCACAGTTATGCGGTCAGAATGGATCGTTTGGTGACAGGCAGGGTCCAAAATGAATTTTTCAAATCTGCCAATGCAATTTCTTAAAATGTAGAAATATTTCCTACCAGCCCAGAAACAATTTTGCAGTTTAAAAATAAAATTAAAAAACAAGTATTTAAAAATATATAAATATAAAAATAAATGCAAATCCCTATGAGAAATTGCAATTTTTTTTATGCAACATTTTTTATGCATTTCAGGCATAATTTAAAGAAAATTCGCCTTTGTTTACTCGTCAAAGCATATATTACTTGCATCTGGTGCTTGGCATGTGTTCATTTAGGTCCCTGGTGATAAATTTGGTGGGTGATGGCTGAAAGAGAGAAATAAAGCAAGACAAAGAAAGACCCAGGTGTTGATACCTACGTGTACACTGCTCAAGCTCGATGCTGGAGCTCATATGGATGTTGTCAACCCAGATGTGCCCTCGACTGCCTCGCTCAAAGAAGCCCTCGATGACAACCTTGCAACAAATTAAACAGAAAAGAAAGAGAATTAAAGACTGTATGTTTCGATAAGCTTCGTTTCGATTGACACCATTACTGGTGTCAATTTACTTCCTTCGTTACTCTCAAGTCAGTGTTTATCATTATATACATCACGGATTTCTATTGGATGAGTATGTGCACCTGATATTCTTTGGGGGACTGAGGCAGGATGGTGCGGCCTTCCCTCCACATGGGCCCCTGGTCTCCTTTCAGTGCCCAGAGCAGCGTCTCCTCCTGGTCATCGTCCCGGAGCAACACACGCAGACTGTCCTGACCTTCACCCTGAAGCTGGTAGTAGAAGAGCAGACAGACGGGGCGGCGCTCGGGTCCCACCGATGGACTCATTAACCGTGCACGCTGTGGCTCTGACTTAGGACTCACCTCGACGTACAGGAAATTCCCAAAATCTGTAGAGAGACAGAAAAGAGTGCTGATGACATCTTTTGGTCCTAGAACAACATTCCTTTTCATGTTCCAACAACTTCCCAACCCTAATCATTACCCCTAAACCAAATCTTTAACCCTACACCAACCAGGATGTAGATCCAGGAACATGTCCTACTTATCTAGTAGTAATATCACTGTAAGCCAAATACATTTTTTCCCCTTTTTCTGTTTCTTTCTCACCGTAACATTGCACTAAACAATCTGGTATGTTTGTTTATGTTGCTAAGTAATAAATAATTGAATCGGAGGGAAGCAGAAAATCAGCTCAGACATAAAAGCATCCCCCCCCCCCCTTTAAGAGGAAAGAGTCCTTACAACGCCATCTCTGTCAGATCCCACTGTGGACGTCTCAGTAAAGCAGAAAAAAAAATGAATGGGAGAGGACAGAAGAGCGGAAAACAACACTCAGAAAGAAGGTTGGGAAACAGTGATCCGACTGGACAGCGTGGCACCAGAAATAATCATCATTACCCATGCTGCCTCAGCTATAATTCGAATGCTCTCACCTACACTGATGTATAGAGAAATGGCATAGTCATTTCCGTTCACCCTACTTTGACACATTTCTCATCCCAAACTTATTGAAAATACAGCACTGAAATCAGAGATCAGACCAGGCCGTCGCTGGTGTTCCTTTATGAGATGCCTAAATAGATTATGCATTTAATTAAAGCAAAAGAACTTCTTCTGTTTGATCTTGGGTATACAGTACATAAAGGAAAATTAATTACCCTTTCACAGGGAAAGTTCACCGTAGCATAGACACTATTTGGATTTAGGTTGATGTGCCTGTGAGGTAACCAGAGGGCAGGGAAAGGTACTTCTGGGATTATTGTTTTTAAGTGGAACCTTCTACACCTAGAGTTAATTAGGCTGACTGCGCATTAACCCTTTCTGGCCCTCTGTTTTTCCGTTTCCTCGTTAAAACACTGGGGTTTGAACACTCTGGAATGCTCAGAGTGCTGTTCCAGGAGCCATGGTCCTGGAACTCCCAAGAAACAGAAAAAGGGGAAAAAACGGTCTGCCTCGCTGCCTGCTGTGTGTTTGTTTGCTTCGAGGCTGTAAGCTCCGCCTGAGCCTCGTATTTCTTTATGTTTTGAGCCATCATTTACTATCTAGTTGTTTATACTACTAAATACAGCTTACCCAACATCTCAGATTAACCTTACATCTCTAGCTTCCGTTATTGTTAACACAGCACGCTAGTAACTCGCTAACGTTAGCCTGCTAACGCGCCACCCGTGCGCTCATTTATATATTTATTTTCTCTCGCGCGCCCGCGCCTTTTGAGTTCATAAAGTCCAGGTAAGTAAGAAATCAGTCAACAAACACGGTGAGTAATGTCTTCTTGTCCTGTTATTGTCACCTGTGTCACATGTCATATGTTTAGTATAGCCTTCTCCGATGGCAATATAGGATTTATATGTGATAAATGCAAGGAGACAGTCAGGCTGACGGAGAAGATTTCAGAACTAGAGACACGCATCCAAACTTTAATTGAGGATGGTAAGAATGCTAGATCTTTAGATAGTGTTTTGGATGCGCCTAGCATAGTGAACTCTTTACATGATTCGGTTCCGGCTGAAGTAGAGCCCGTGCAGCAGGGCAGATGGGTTACTGTGAGAGATCACCGCTCTAGTCGCGGATCAAAGAACCACTCTTCCGTTCCGATTCCCATAACAAATCGATTTGCCCCACTCAGTGAAACACCCACTGAGAATTCTGTTGATTGTGCCCTGGTAATTGGTGATTCGATCACACGGAACATGAAAATAGAGACACCAGCCACCATAGTCACATGTTTGCCGGGAGCCAGAGCGCCTGACATCAAAGCAAATTTAAAAGTGCTGGCTAATGCTAATCGTAAATTCTCTAAGATCATTATTCATGTCGGCACTAATGATGTTCGACTCCGCCAGTCGGAGATCACCAAAATTAATATTAAAGAGGTGTGTGAACTCGCAAGTACGATGTCAGGCACTGTAATTTGCTCTGGCCCCCTTCCTGTACGCAGGAGTGATGAGATAGTTAGCCGATTGGCCTCACTGAATGGTTGGCTGTCGAAGTGGTGTCCGCAGAATAATATAAAATTCATAGACAATTGGAAAAGTTTTTGGGGCAAACCTGATCTGTTGAAAAGAGATGGTATCCATCCCTCCTGGGCTGGTGCTGCTCTTCTCTCTAGTAATTTGGCTCATAGTCTTAGAGCTAAAACATGACAATCTGGGGCTCAGGTCAGGAAGCAGACAGACTGGCTAAACCGACCGTCTGCTAGCGGCCTCACGTCACCAAGGTCAGATAAATCCCATCACATAGAGCCTCTTTCACCTAGATATCATCATATAGAGACTGTGTCTGTTCCCCGAATTTGGAAATCCAAAAAACGTCAGGTTAAAAATTTAATTGATGTTCAACAAATAAAAAACAGATATAATACAGATGAGCAAATGATAAAGCTTGGGTTGCTGAATATTCGATCCCTTACTTCAAAATCTCTTATAGTTAATGATATGATTTCAGATTATAATCTTGATATGCTGTGTTTGACAGAAACCTGGCTAAAACCAAACGATTACATTATTTTAAATGAGTCAACCCCACTAGATTACAGTTATAAAAATGAACCTCGTCTGAAAGGCAAAGGGGGAGGTGTTGCTGTAATTTATAGTAATATTTTCAAAACCACTAAGAAATGTAGCTTTAAATATACTTCTTTTGCAGTATTGGTGCTTAATGTAAAAATATATAGTGTAAACGATAAATCACATTTGAGAATTCTGCTGGCTACTGTGTACAGGCCACCAGGGCACCATAAAGATTTTATCAAAGAATTTGCGGACTTTCTATCAGATTTAGTATTGGCTGCAGATAAAGTACTAATTGTTGGTGATTTTAATATACATGTAGATAATGAAAAAGATGCTTTGGGATTGGCATTTAAAGACATTGTAAACTCAATTGGAGTTAGACAACACGTGTCAGGACCTACTCATTGTCGTAATCATACTCTAGATCTAATATTATCACATGGAATAGATGTTGATGCTGTTGAAATTCTGCAGCAGAGCGATGACATCTCAGATCATTATCTAGTCTCATGTAAATTACATTTAGCCAAGGCTGCAAAGCCGACTCCGTGTTATAAATACGTTAGACCTATAACTTCTGCCACTAAAGATTGCTTTATCAATAATCTTCCTAATCAGTTTCATCATCTCAGCATCCCAGATAGCTTAGAAGAACTCGATATTGCAACAGAAACGTTTAACTCTCTCTTTTCCAGCACTTTAGTTGCTCCGTTGCGCTTAAAGAAGATTAAAGAAAATAGTCCAACGCCGTGGTACAGCGAGCACACTCAGGCCCTAAAGAGAGCAGCCAGAAAAATGGAGCGCAACTGGAAGAAAACTAAACTAGAGGTATTTCGGATTTCATGGAAAGAGAGCTCAATTGCTTACAGAGAGGCTTTAAAAGCTGCTAGATCTGCTTATTTTTCAAACCTATTAGAAGAAAATAAACATAATCCTAGGTATTTATTTGAAACAGTGGCTAAACTAACGAAAAAGAAAGCTTCAAGCTCAGAAGTGTCAAAGCAACACGGCAGTGATGACTTTATGAACTTCTTCACTTATAAGATTGATAATATCAGGGACAAAATTATAACTATGCAACCGTCTACCACAGTATCGCATCAGGAAGTGCATTGTAGTCTCCCTGAGGAAAAATTTGATTTATTTGTTGCTATAGGAGAGGAAGAATTCTGCAAACTCGTTAATTCATCTACCGTATTTTCCGCACTATAAGGCACACTTAAAAGCCTTTAATTTTCTCAAAAAACGTCAGTGCGCCTTATAATGCGGAGCGGCTTATATATGGATGGTGAACACACGTTCACCAAGACGCGGAGACAGCGCCGGCCGACTTACGCCACTATCTGGCAATGGATCGTGGATGCCTGGGCTGATATATCAGTCTCCTGTGATCCGAGCTTTCACGAAGGCTGCAGGCAGGAATAATCTCTTTATTCAGCCAGCTCATATACCCGTATTTACTTCCTGTTTTCGGCCGAAGTCCACAGTAGTTGATTATCGAGTTCGCGCGCGCGCGATCAAACCTCCTCCACGTGTTCAACATTTGATTCGGATGAACTATCCGAATCCGAACTATCCATTTGAGCTGATATTCTCACATAGAGAACACCACACAGCACCGTCATCGGCTGACAGTCTGAGTCTCCACTGTTGCTTAGTTACCAATGATCGCGCGCGCGCACTCGACAATCGCCTACTGTGGACTTCGACCGAAAACAGGAAGAAAATACGGGTATGTGAGCTGGCTGAATAAACATCATTTTTATTCATATCTTTCACATTTACTGGAGTCAGATTCACTGTGTTCACTCACATGGCTGTGCACTTGTAATGACACATTAAGGTTGTTAAGAGGCTAAAAGCAGGTTTAAAACTTTTCCCGTTTAAGTCAACAGGGTGCAAATTTTAAAAAGAGGATAACACGGTGTAGGCAACACCGGTTTTTGTCGTTGTTATCTGTACTGACAGCACTCCAAATTTACCAAAAATGAGCTCAATGTTAAAATTGACCGGAGTTTTCCTTCAACGTTTGAACAACGTTACCATGGGAGTGAACGGAGTTGTCAGAACGCTTAATAAAGTTTGACTTTATCTGACTGTTTTGTTGACATTTGTTGACATCTAGTGGATGCATAACGCAAACGCAGTCAAACGTTTGACTGCAGTATCTTATGCGCTTTATAATCCGGTGCGCCCTATATATGAAAAATGTTCTAAAATAGGTCATTCATTGAAGGTGCGCCTTATAATCCGGTGCGCCGTATAGTGCGGAAAATACGGTAAATCGACAACTTGTATGTTAGATCCTATACCGACTAAGCTACTGAAAGAGATGTTTCCAGAGGTCATATATCCTCTTCTTAATATCATTAATTCATCTTTGTCTCTAGGATACGTACCAAAAACCTTTAAGCTGGCTATGATAAAACCGCTTGTTAAAAAACCACAACTTGATCCTACAGAATTAGTCAATTACAGGCCGATCTCGAATCTGCCTTTTCTGTCAAAGATATTAGAAAAAGCAGTATCTTCACAACTATGTTCCTTTCTAGAAAGAAATGATATCTGCGAGGATTTTCAGTCCGGATTTAGACCGTACCATAGCACTGAGACCGCTCTCATTAGAGTCACAAATGATTTGCTCTTATCATCCGATCGTGGTTGTATCTCTCTATTAGTGTTACTCGATCTTAGTGCTGCATTTGACACCATTGACCACAACATTCTTTTAAATAGACTAGAAAACTATGTTGACATTAGTGGAATTGCATTAGCATGGTTTAAATCATACTTAACTGACCGTTATCAGTTTGTAGCAGTAAATGAAGAGATGTCTTATCGATCACAAGTTCAGTATGGCGTACCACAAGGCTCAGTACTAGGACCGCTGCTGTTCACTCTGTACATGCTACCATTAGGAGATATCATTAGGAAACATGGAGTTAGCTTTCACTGTTATGCCGATGATACTCAGCTGTATATTTCTTCAAAACCCAACGAAACTTACCAATTCACAAAATTAACGGAATGCATAGCTGATATAAAAAATTGGATGACTAGTAATTTCCTACTACTAAATTCTGAAAAGACAGAGATTCTAATTATTGGACAAAAAACTTCCACACGTAATAACCCAGAATACTGTCTAACACTTAATGGCTGCTCTGTCAAGTCTTCGTCGTCGGTTAGGAACCTGGGTGTGCTATTTGATACCAACCTTTCTTTTGAAAGCCACGTGTCTAGTATCTGTAAAACTGCATTTTTCCATCTTAAAAATATATCTAAATTACGCCATATGCTCTCATTGGGAAATGCGGAACAATTAGTCCATGCGTTCATGACCTCAAGGCTAGATTATTGTAATGCTCTACTGGGTGGTTGCCCTGCACGCTTAATAAACAAACTACAGCTAGTTCAAAACGCCGCAGCTCGAGTTCTTACCAGAACCAGGAAATATGACCATATTAGCCCGGTTCTGTCAACACTGCATTGGCTCCCTATTAAACATCGTATAAATTTTAAAATATTGTTGATTACCTACAAAGCACTAAATGGTTTAGCTCCGCAGTACTTGAGCGAGCTCTTAACGCATTATAGTCCTTCACGTCTATTGCGATCTCAAAATTCCGGCCAGTTGATAATACCTAGAATATCTAAATCGACTGCTGGCGGTAGATCCTTTTCCTATTTAGCACCAAAACTTTGGAACAGTCTTCCTACCATTGTCCGGGAAGCAGACACACTCTGTCAGTTCAAAGCTAGACTAAAAACACATCTCTTTGACCTAGCATACACATAATACATTATAGACTTCTATAATTTCAATGTTAGGCTGCATAGATTAGGTCAGCCGGAACTGGGAACACTTCCCTTAAATCTTGATGTACTCGCTACATCATAAGAAGAATGGCATCTACGCTAATATTAGTGTCTTTGTTTATCCCGAGGTTTTCCCGCAGCCTGCCGGATCCAGGCCGTGTCCAGATCTGACGAAGGAGATTCGCCTGGACCCGATGACAATGCAGTGCTGAAGTATCCACTATCCTCTCCCTATGGAGGATCCCTTTCCCACTCTACAGATAAAGCGTTGTGAATTCCGGCTCGCGTACCCCGAAGTGATAAAATAAAACAAAATTCTGTATCAAAATTTATAGGCAAGAAAAGTAGTTTGTTTAGGCTGGGTTGTATGAATTACAAACCTGCGCACATATTTTAAAAAGCACATAACTATAGAATTCTGAATGAGCATGTGAACGCCGTCAGCGTTAATCACAGGTTCGCGTTTAAAGTCTGATCATTTCGACGGAGGTGAATCAATCAAAGTTAACTTTAGCTGGAAGTAACATTATTCAAGAACCGCTATAACGCCAAAACAATCTGTTACCTTAAATTATATGTTTATCTCTGTAAAGCTGCTTTGAAACAATTCATTGTTAAAAGCGCTATATAAATGAAGATGACTTGACTTGACTTGACTTGACTTGACATGGGATCTACACGGCTTACTTTGATGTTGGATCGTTTTATGGGAGAGAGCTGTGCTATAAAGTGAATGAGTTGAGCAGCTCTTGTCCAGGGATGCTGGGAAGCCAGAAACATACTCCATATGCAAAAACATCACTGGCATAACTATAGAAGTCCGTTTCCACATTGGACTGTGTGACTTTTTATCTTGTAATTGCAATTTTATATTTCTTAATGTGACTTCAAATCTATTTTTTATTTTTTTTTGTATTATTATTTCCTTTACTGAGAAGAAACAGGCTTCCATATAAAACATCTACTCGAATCTGGCAGTCAATGGAGAAAGTAGCTTTTTGGCCCCAGATGATGTACTAACATCTACAAGCTTACCAGCCAAACCTTGACCCCTTGATCGGAAAGACTCTAGCTACAGTACTAAAGCACTTCATGCAACAATACTAAGAATACTGTGTGTACTTGTGTTATGAAATGCATTGAGATACATTTTGGAAACCAACTTCGTGTGAAATCGAGTTTGAGTTTCTAGAAGTTTTGTGTTAGGGGATCTACACAGTTTGTTTGGAAAAGGTGAGGAATGTGACGTGACACCCCTGGTGTTAAAGAGAGAATGGGAGTGTGTGTGTGTGTGTGTGTGTGAGAGAGAGAGAGAGAGAGAGAGAGAGAGGCAAAAGTCTTAGGATTGGGGGTGCAATTGGTTTGGGAATGGTTAAAACAGGACAGGATTCTTTCCTCTTTACTGCTGGATCTCTCTTTAAAACTTGACATATGGAAAACAGTGCAAGATTGTTTTAACAACCTCACAAGGCAGAGTGCTCCAGGAAAGCAGTGAGGACATGGAGAACTGTGTGTGTGTGTGTGTGTGTGTGTGTGTGTGTGTGTGTGTGTGTGTGTGTGTGCAGAATTAGTGAAGCGCTCATCTTTTTTTTCACGTAGGGTTGATAAAGGTCAGGTAAGCTCAGGGATGTGAAGAGATGTACAAACTCCCAGAGGAAGAACGAGGATGGACTGAGAGAATGACAGATACTATTCCCAGATTTCAACCATCACATTAATTACACACCAGTAATGAGACGGATGGATGGAAAATGAGAGGTGAGCGCATGTGTGTGAGAGTGTGGATTCATAAAGAGGACAAGGGTAAAAGAAGGTCAAAAAATGTCTTTTGTGCAGTACGGTCACAGTAGGTTACCATACAACACAATACTTCCTTTCTGACCATCTTCTGCTGTCCCTGTTTATTTTCCTAACAATCCTTATTAATCAAGCACATTTGTCTTCACACAGTTCCTGATTTCCCCAATGCTATACCAAAATTCCCAATGTTTTTGTTTATGTTGGAAGAGATTAGTATGGGATATCTTTTATTAAGATGCACTTACTGTCAGATCCCAGTGTCAGGTCCAGACTAGGGCTAGAGGAACTATACAGAGACCACTTCAGATCAGACATGGGGTCGTGGGTCCATCCACACATACTCTGCTCAAAGTCACACAGACCACCCAGAGATGACAGAGTGGTGGGAGCTGGGAAGAGAGAAAGAGCAAACATACTCATTTTCCATGACCTGTTGTAGGCTCTCCCATAACACACACATACTATATTTGTCCTATGACTATGTGTCCTACTATGTGTATTTCCTCATGAAATATATATATATATATATACATTTGTCTCATTTTACATACACAGATTGCTCTCACTGTATTTATTCCCAGTTTCTAATGTACATAAAGATTCCAGTTTCCTATGTGCATAGATTTCTGTCTCACTGTATGTGCACATTTTCCTGTTTCACTGTATGTGCACAGAATCCCTTTTCACTGTAAGTGAAAGTTAACAGTCTCACTGTATATAAAAGATTGCCATTTCACTAAATATGCAAATATTCTTGCTTCACCGGAGAGATTCATGTCTCACTGTACATTGCAGTTTCCAGTTTCATTCTACGTAAGAGATTGCTGTCTCACTGTACGTGACAGATTCTTGTTTCACTGTAATGTATGTGCACAGATTTCAGCCTCACTGTATGTGCACAGACTGGCCCTGCTGCTGGTGCTGCTGCTTTGTTAACATGCAGACACTGACAGACTCCAGTACAGCCTCATCTATATGGAGCGCTTTGCCTCAGCATTTAGCGGGCCTCCATCAGCCATCCATCCAAAGGCATGCTGCTATGCTAGTTAGCATAATGTTAGAGTTCATGCTGCGAGCCTCTACTCATCAACACATAAGTGTGTAGAAATGGAGGGGCGGCAATCTGTTATTAGAGCTCTGGGAAAAGCAAAGCTGCAATTACACAGCAGAGTACTGTAAATAAAAGTGCATGTGTGATATACTAAAATTGCTTATATAAACATTCATTAATGAGACATGCTCTACTAGATATTCCCATTACATCTCAGCCAAGTATTTTGTAATATACATTGAATTGATTGGATAAATTGATATTCACTCTACAGCGAGATCTGATCTTGTGCACTATAGTAATATTTTCTGTAAGTAAGGTGCTCTGTTTGATTACCTGGTGTCCTGTGGGCGGTACTTGTCACATCCTGAGGGGGAAGGGTAGGCGTAACTGTGTCAGGAATGGTGGTAGATTCTAAAATAAAGTAAAAAACAGCACGTTTTAGAAATAAGCCTGACTGAGAAAACAAAAACGTGTGAGGCACAATTAATATCCTCTAAAGAAGATCATTGTACCAGTGCTGATGAATACACAAGTCTCCCTAACTTACACATAGTGTCTGGCAAACACTCCTAAAATAAGAAATGACAGAATAATCATACATGATCGCACACAGGCATGCATGCACACCAGCATCTGTCCCCCAAAAAGTGGCCACAGCCACCAGACACACATAAACCAGGCCGAGACAATTAAAAATGTGCACATGCACCACATGCACACATTGTGCGTTTACAATAAGATAAATATTAAAAAACCACAACTAGAAAAAAAAATTCTAAGCATCTGAGAGCTATTTACTGTGAAGTGCTCTTATAGAGAGAGAGAGAGCATATTCTCTAGATTATAGCTTCATCACCACTGCCATTCCACCTCAGACAACTGCAGTTACTGTACCAGTTACCCACAATGCATTTAAAAGTGAAACCATTGCTGCCACAGCTATTTTCCATGAGTCACCACACAAGACTTCCAAAGACATTATTCCCTCCTCTGACTGTCTCTCGCTCGCTTTCATTTTTATACAGTACAGCAACATACAGTAGTTGACTTCTTTAGCTTTATTTCTCTTCTTTCTCTCCACGTCTCTCGCCAATAAGTGACGCGAGTTTTGGCCAAAATGACACAAGCCAGACAGCAACAAAGCAATTGCAACAGCGCTCTTACATGGTTTCTGCGGTGATAATTTGTTATGACGGAAAATGTTAAATCAGCCGTTGCATCTCTCTTCGTTCCCTGCGGGGGATCAAGCGAAGGAAGATTTAGAGACAACGAGGCGTAAATGAGTAATGATTGTCAGCTCTTAAAGTCATTAATGTCATTACTCTTAACAATTCCCTGCTTAATTGGCAAATACGTGAGTGGCGTAACACTAATCATGTAGACACTTTAGCACAACATGAAAAGGAGAGGCCTACTGTAATATTAATATGTTATTAATTTCTATAAGCGGGTGCGTACATGAAAGGGATGCACCAGCTGGCGGCTTCTGACATTAAACTCTATTAATTTTCTGCCCTTTACAAATGCAATTAACCTCCTGGGAACTGAGAACTCTCTGTTAGGTAACACACCTTTCTTTCTTTAGCCTCACATACATAAAGTATGACACACTCCTGTCCTGTCTAATGTGCACTACTGTTCAGTAAGAATTTTTGTAATGTTTTTTTTATTATGTTTTTTAAGGCTGCATTTATTTGATCAAAAATCAAGCGTAGCGTCAGTTCTGGCAGGTCAGCTGATCCACGTCTACCTATAGGAATATGACGCCTATCACTGTATACATATATAAGCTCCTTCAGTATTATCAGCAGCTATCACGTTTCTCAGGAGCTAATTACCCTCCTCCATCCCCAGCTCCTCCTCTCGTCAGTCAGTTTGGCATTCTGATTCCCCTCGAATCAGAATAAATTCTCGAATTATGTTGTATTTTAAAATCTTGAATGAATGATATCTGCAATACATTCATGTTGGTTCTGTTCTGTTTACCCTAAGGGGGGTTATTGTTGCTGTCCTGCTCTTATCCATGCTAGGCTGCATGGGTGCGCAGGGAGTTCTCGCCCAGAACAGAACCATACCGCCAATCCAAACTGTATGCTTGTCAATCGTATTTGACGATAGTGGTCCTGACAGAAATACAGTAAAACAGTAATATTGTGAAATATTATTACAATTAAAAATAACTTTTTTTTATTTTTGAATAAATGGTAAAGTTTACTTTTTTTCTATGATGGCAGAGCTGAATGTTCAGCATCATTACTCCAGTCAGTGTCATATGATCCTTCAGAAATCATTCTGGTATGCTTATTTGCTCCTTAAGAAACATTACTAATGTTGAAAACATTTTATTTTTGTATATACACTACCGTTCAAAAGTTTGGGGTCGGTACGATTTTAAATACTTTTAAAAGAATTCTCTTCTGCTAACCATGGCAGCGCTTATTTGATTAAAAATACAACAAAAATCAGTTATAGTATTAAATATTATTCCAGTGTAAATCAGCTGTTTTCTGTGTGAATATATAGTAAAGTGTAATTTATTCCTGTGATCAAAGCTGAATTTTCAGCATCACCAGTGTCAGTGTCTTCAGTGTCAAATGATCCTTCACAAATCAGTATAATTTGAGGATTTGATGCTCAAGAAACATTTATTATTATTATCAATGTTGAAACAGTTGTTGGTCTGTCAGTTGTACAGTTTTTTTTTTTTTTTTTTAGGATTCTTTGATGAATAGGAAGTTCAAAAGACTTTTGTAACATTATAAATGTCTTTACTGTCACTTTCGATCAAATTAATTATTCCTTGATAAATAAAAGTATTGATTTCTTTCCTCCAAAAAATAAAAATAAAATTCTCACTGACCCCAAACTTTTGAACGGTAGTGTATATATATATATATATAGTAAGTTGAAATCTAATTATATACCATTACAAACTTTGAATCGCTTTTAATCATTTCAATGCATCTTTGCTGAGTAAAAGTATTATTTTCTTTAAAAAAAAAAAACTTTTACATAGTAGTGTATATGTTTCTGTTAAAGGTGTTAACAGGGAGGTCAAAATGAGCCAACATGAGCACAAGTGGTTCATCATTGTATCATTGGCTCATTCAACAAGTCTGAACACTTACCTGTTAATTAGCTAATGTTCAACATTATTTACAATTATTTTTAAACTGACACCAGATATTTCCCTTAATGTGATTTCTATATACCCATATGTGAAATATGCTGCTAATTCCTCCTTATACCTGAAGCTCCAGCTATGGATCAGAGCAAGACATGGCAATTGATTTCCAATATGCTCTAAAGCTCTATTGATGCAGCCAATTGATCTGGATCCCAGAACTCTCTGGGCGTTGCCTGAGATTTCCTCCACAGCCTGATAACACATTAAGGCCACGAAATGTTTACAAGTCTCAAAGACAGACCAGATATTTACAAGCAAGGGCTGGTTTTGGGGTCACTCCTCCTCACCCTGAATGATTACCTTGTTTTTAACCTCTGAATTCAGGGCACAGAGCGGAGTTAGCCCTGTTTCCAGCCTCATGGGCCCCGCTGAGCCTTGGCAATCTCTGACTCAGCGTTTTCATAGCAAGATGGAAAAAATGTTCAATTACATAGAAAGCCTTGGAGTAAATGTGCCCCTGGCAGGCAGACCGGCTGTACTTCAGCGCCTGACTGAGATCTTGAGCAGAGACAGCATAGCAAGGAAAAACAAAGAGATTGTGTGGAGTACCAAACAAAGAACAGGAGTCAGACCGGATCAGCAACTGTGAAAGTGATCATCAAAGCTGATGTGGCGAATTATAACAATGTGTTCATGTACACAACCACATTAAACGAAATAGTAAGCATGCTCCAAACATGCACACACACACAAAAACGCATACTTAATCACTGATGCTTATTCATAGGCAACCTAATTAAACATTTCCAACTTGAAAGACCAGTCGTTTGGCCTCCAGAATTCAAAAACAAAGCCATTTTCCAGCGGCACTGAACTAATTAAAGCTTTTGTCTCTGTTTCTTTTGAACACAGAAAGTAACAGAAGGTTTATCGTGTTATATCTCAGCTAGTAAATTCCCCAAATACAAACGCACAGATACATACTGAGTTCAGACAGGCCTGTGCTTGGCCTCTGATAAGGACTTTCATCTGGAGCTCAGTTAAACCAACAAATCATCTCCAGGAGATAGATATCTAATATGCTTCACATGCCTAGAAATATTCAGGGCGAAAGTGTTCATATTCACATCAGATGTCCTCCGAGAACCCTGCTTCAAAAACAACAACGGCGATTTCAAAAAACAATCTTCAACCGGCTTGATAGAGAGTGAATGCTTATCACAAACATTTCAAATCTCTTCGAAACAGTTTTTAAGTTTATACACTGCACCTAACCATGGCTAGAATGCTACGGCGGGTTGTTTAACGCCATATACTGTAACCAATCACAAACCTTCATATTGCTTGGCTCATTAAATATCCAAATAGCAGTTGTGTTATTAATCATGTTATACAAACCAATAATTGGAAGTCACAGTGTCATTTAGCATTATGTTTCAGAAAATCTCAAGAGATAGTGAACACAAAAACGAAAATTCCAACCCAATCTCATGAGAAAAAGTAGCTATTCTACAAGAAAGAAAAAAATAAGTATGAAGGTCCACCCCAAACTTTACTGTCAGTGGGACGTAAGCACATCAAAAACATACAGCTTCATATGAATTTGCCACTAATTCACTAAAACATAAAATACTTATGAATTGCCATGAGAGTGTGTTGGGAAAACTCTGTCATCATTTGCTCACAGTCATGTCGTTCCAAACATGCATTTCTTTATTTCTTATGCAGAACACAAAAAATATGATATTCTGAAAAATGTCTGTTTTTTTTTTTTTTTGTCTGTACAATAAAAAAATGTTTTGGACTCCATTGACTGTCATTGCTTGGACAAGAACAGCTGAAATATTCTTCAAAATATCTTGATATCATAATATCTGTTCTCCAGAAGAAAGAATGTCAAACAGGCTTTGACAGAATTTTCATTCAGTTTCTAGTAGGAGAGCTGTACTATACAAAGACAACTGTACAAAGACTGAAGTAGGCCTTATTTTATAATAAAGAGGAGGGAAGATGTGCAGTATGGAAAAAGAGGAGGGGAGGAGTGGAGATCAACCTAAATATTTACACTGGGAGGATATGAAGAATGACATGTGGGCTTTGTGGGTAAATGTCTGTGTGCAAACACGGGTTGTGTAGGGGGACTACACTAAACAGAAACATGTGGATGAGAACTACAAAGCGCCAATTCAACTAGATCAGGGGAGCGGTTGTCCTTCAGCTCACATGCATCCATCCTGATAGAGAAGTAGCAGGGAAAGATGGTGAGGGAGACCCTCGGTTTTGGCGAGAGAATGAGGTCGAGCCGGAGAGAAATGATTACACTCTCCTTGTCAAAGATGATAAGAACAGGAAACAATTTTCCATCACATCTCCAGCTGCCCCGGCAAGGAACGAAGAGTGGAACGCTGTGTCCTAAACCACACCCACTGTTCCCTTGACGGACAGCCACAGGCCCTGCCCGCACATCTGAGAGTGATCAGTGAGTACTGCACATCCTGACAGTAACGACATATATGATGTTACAAAAGATTCTATATCAAATAAATGCTGTTCTTTTAAACTCTCTATTCATTAAAGAATACTGGAAAACAGTTGTACACAACTGTTATTTTAAAAACAGTTATTTCAAATTGTAATCATATTTGGCGATTTGTGTAACAATATTTCACAATATTACTGTTTTTGATTAAATGAATGTAGTGAACATAAGACTTTTTTCAAAACCATTGAAAAAATACAGACCCAAAACTTTTGAATGGTAATGATTTGATTTGAATGGTAACTTGCGATTTTAAAACCCATGTGTTGATTTGTACTCATAATTTTCATACATTGCTGATTTTTGTACTTCTTGGCTAAGGCAGTTAGCATCCAGTCACTGTAGCCATTCCATTCACAGCTGTTGTTTGAAGTCCTTACTGTCTTCTGTGAACAGCAGTAACCCTGTGCTCCTGAATCTCAGCATCCTCACTCAGCCCGAGCGGGAGAGAAGTTTAGCCGAGCCTAGTCTCAAAGGGTTGCATGCTGTGTTAAAGGCGTCTCCCTCCAGCTTCTTCAATTTTGAGATGCGCTACACCCAGCAGAGGTCACTGTCCTCTCTCTCTCTCTCTCTCTCTCTCTCTCTCTCTCTCTCTCTCTCTCTCTCTCTCTCTCTCTCTCTCTCTCTCTCTCTCTCTCTCTCTCTCTCTCTCTCTCTCTCTCTCTCTCTCTCTCTCTCTCTCTCTCTCTCTCTCTCTCTCTCTCTCTCTCTCTCTCTCTCTCTCTCTCTCTCTCTCTCTCTCTCTCGACGTTGAGTCCAGCTTGACGTTGAGTCCAGTAATGAATAATAGACAAGGGTGCCTGATTGAAATATCTAAAGTCCCTCTGTGTGTCTTCCACGGTCTTGCTCACACAAGGTCTGTCTGCCACGCCTCTGTTTATTTATTCATCAATTCATTATTTCTCTCCTTGTGTCCCTCACTCCAAATTTCCTTCCTCTGGGAGAGTGATGGGATTTGGGGACAAAATCGTTGCTTAGCTGCAGCTCAGAATAACTCCAGGAATGTATGACCTTGGTTTGTGTGAGTTTGTACAGTATACAGAAGTAGTATGATATATGTGTGTAATATTTATAGTCAGATTGTCATTATAATCAAATAACCCCTGGAGATCAGAACTACGACACAGAGTATATGACTTTACATTATCCTGCTTATGCCAAGGCTCCTTACCAAATCAATGGACAGTAATATAAATTTGAGCCTAAATTACTTTAGCATGTGAGAAGAAAGAGACTGTGGAATGATATGAGAGAAACTGGTTGCTGGGGACAATAGTCAATTATACAGCTATGCAGTCATTATATAAAAATACTTGACCGCAGAATGTCACAATCGACCAATCAGAATCAAGTATTCCAGAGCGCCATGTAATAATAACTTCTAATAATCTCTCTCTATATGAAATTAAATGTGTGCATGTGTGTGTTCAGTCAGTAGACGACTATGAACGCGGTGGCAGATGTGTGTGATTGGCGTAAACATCTCTGTGCAGTGAAGTGAGACTGATGTAGCCCTGTGAATATTTAACGTCTCTCTCTTTCCGCGAATCCCCACGGCCGCTCAAAATCAGAACAACAGCAGCCCCGGCCCCTGAGTCCCTCACCCTCGCTCCACAGCTGCAAACAACCACAATTTACAAAAGTACAGTTTGCTTTGGAGCACCGAATTAGGACAAGCTCACTCAAACCGTAGGTCTGTATGTTTTTTGTTGTCAAACGGCTCCTTTGAGGACCGGTACTAGTGATCACCATGGAGGTGCTTAACAGATGGTAGGAAACGAAACAACCATAATGTTGGGGCTTATGGACGGAAACGAAAAAAGTACAAAAGGAAAATAAACACAAATCAAAGTCACATGTAAGTATATGTAACACTGCTGTAGCTGGGGGCGGTGTGTTTATTATTTTCAATTAAATTCTGACCGTAAAATCTAACAGGATGAGCCACATTGAAGTTGCTGCCAATATCCAATGAATACACACACCTGTGACCGCACATCATTTGCATATAAAGTTGCTACAGGCAATGTAAACAGCCTACAGCTAGGCTAATGAACTTTATTAGTCACCGGATGAATTGATTATCATGATTATAATTAATCTGCTTTGTGACATGTCCAAAGTCATAGAGTAAAAAATGTCAAAACAAAACACTCAAACCGCAGGTCTATATGTTTTTTTTTTTTTGCTGTCAAACGGCTCATTTGAGGACCGGTACTGGTATGGATGACTGTGGATGTGCTTAACAGATGGTAGGAAACGAAACAGCCATAATGTTGACATTCCCATCCAAAATTCAAAGTCACATGCAAGTGTATATAACTCAAGTGTGTTTGTGTGTCTCGGGATCTGTATGTGATTAGATTTACTGTGGAGATTAGGAACTGGGGCTGTAGTTTCAACAGTGAGTGGGGTAGATTGAGCCCCCTGTGTCTCGAACATCTGGTGCGCAGTTGTGCACTGCGGAGCCTTGCCGCACTGTCATCGCATTCCCTCACGCAAACATAACCGTGTGTACACAAACACAATCGGCCGTCAGTCCATTTTTCGTCACTCATTAACTCACTGGCTTTGATCCATCCCTCATTTCTTTCTTCCGCTTTGATTATCGTCTCTTTCTCTCTCTCTTGATCTTTCGCTCTTATTCATTTATGGCCCATAGGCTCTGTAAACCCTGTATCGCGCCAAGAACCGCTGATGACACATGAAGCTTTCAGCCCGGATCTCATCTTCTGCCTGCAAAGTGCCACCAACTAACCCAGAGCCAGCACCGGCTCTCTGTCTGACTTTTCATCATGTCTTCTTCCTCCTGCACTCTTGCCATGCTAATAAACCTGGGCACTCAGCCCTGAGGCTTCCCCTGGCCTCCGCCCACATCGTCCTTTCTAGCAACTCCTCTAATGCTCCTTTGCCCCCGGCATTCCTGCAGACACAGAGCCATGAAGACAGCCCGTCGATTACTGCCCCTCGGCCTGCCGCTTTATAAAGCCCAGGCCAGGTCCAGAGGGAGCAGTCGTGTGTCCTTTTGGCTGATCGTCACGCTGTGACAGGTAAAAGATTCAGGAGGAGGATATATGAAGGACATCGGGGACAGAGAGCAAAGATGAAAGTGACAGAGTGGTTTTCTTCCTACTGCTGTAGCTGGAGGCGGTGTGTTTGTTTTGAATTAAAACTGATAATTCTGACTTTAAAAATCTGGATGGATAAACCACGTTGAAGTTGCTGCCAATAGCCAATAAATGCACACACCTGTGACCGCACATCCTTTTTTTTGTATTATTCATTAATGTGAAGTTGCTACAGGTAATGTAAAAAGCCTGCAGCTAGGCTAATGAACTTTATTACTCAGCGGATGAAGAGTTTATCGTGATTATTATTAATCTGCTTTGTGTTGTCTAAAGTCATAGAATAAAGAATGAAAACCAAAACGAAACAAAACAAAGCAAAGCAAAACAAAACAAAACAAAACACAAGAAAACACAACACAACACAACACAACACAAAACAACACAAAACAACACAAAACAAAACAAAACAAAACAAAACAAAACACAAGAAAACACAACACAAGAAAACACAACACAAGAAAACACAACACAAAACAACACAAAACAACACAAAACAAAACACAAGAAAACACAACACAAGAAAACACAACACAACAAAACAAAACAAAACAAAACAAAACAAAACAAAACAAAACAAAACAAAACAAAACAAAACAAAATAAAAAAAAACAGGTCTTACCTGGCAAGTCACAACCCAGTATCTCCAGTCTCATTCCGATGCCGGCGGGCGACCACCTCTCAGGATACACCCTGATAAACTGGGCCACAATCTCCTCGAAGCGACGGATCTCTGGGGTGTCGTAGTGTGTGTTGCCCTCAAAAATCTGGTGGAGCAGAATCACAAAGGCACTTTAGCACAGCTGTGTGACTGAGAGGAAAGCTAGTGGATATTCTCTGTTTTTGAGAAAGTCTCTGACGCAGCTCTGCAGCTCAGGTTTTAATTAACACCACCGTGGATGATTTCACTGGAATGTTATCAAAGCTTGCAGCATAATTGAATTCTGCTCTCAGAGTGGGAGATTGGGAATCTAGAAGTGAAATGCTGAGTCGCTGAGATGAGCAGGAAAGAATGAAGTAAGTCTGTTAATAATCTGATTCTGGTTAACTGTTCATTAATGTAGCCTTTTCAACGACCCACAATATTTAAATTAGCAAGATTAACTAATTAACCTAATTCAACTCCAGTTAAATTCTTCACTTCAGTCCTCTGCTGGAAAAAGCAGATTATATAATGCTTAAAGAACATATTGCAGGTGTCACGGCCGGCTCGCAAGCCGCGACAAAGAAGGAGATGACACGTTAAAGTGGTATGCAAAAAGGAATAACATTTATTAAAGTAAAAGTAATAAAGTAAGAGACTAGACCAAAACGGGAACAAGACAACAACAAAATGGCACAAGGGGAGAGCGCGCCCGTCACGACCGAAGGGAGCTGCTTTAGTTTGCCGGCATCAGCTCTAGCACAGGTGTAAACCATCAGTCATCAATGACGTCACTCACTCCAACTCCAACCTACAAAACAGGTGACAAGGACAAGCGAATCCACACGATATGACCCACACTGGGGTCGTAACACCTCCCCCCATAAAAAAAAAAGGGTGGACATTTATGAAAACCCGTCACCCGACAACTCTCCAAACTTGAAAGACCCACCACTCTGTAATACTCTCCAATATCCTCAGCAACCACGGGCCCTGTGGAAGCAATTTAAGACAGACAAGCAGAGCAAAACATGGTTAGTCAATAAGTTAAAAAGAATAAGGAGCTCTAGACAATGCGTCAGCTACCACATTGTCAGTCCCCTTGATATGTCGGATGTCAAGTGCATATGATTGCAAGAAAAGGCACCAACGAGTCAACCGTTGGTTTGGACACCGCAAAGAATGTAAATAGACAAGCGGATTGTGGTCTGTATACACAACCAATGGGTCTGACACGGATCCCACATACACTTCAAAGTGTTGCAAAGCCCAAATCAAAGCTAATGCCTCCTTTTCAACCACCGAATAATTCAACTGATAAGAATTAAACTTTTTTGAGAAGTAGCTAACTGGACAATAAATTCCTTCCTCCCCAGCCTGTAACAACACTGCTCCAGCACCCACATTGCTAGCATCCACACATACCTGAAAAGAACGATCAAAACGAGGCGCTGCCAACACAGGAGTGGATGTAAGCAGTGATTTAGCTGCCTCAAAAGCCTCCTGACAGGTAGATGTCCAAACAAAAGCTACTTTTGCTTTCAACAGATCAGTGAGAGGGGCTACCACGGTAGAAAAATTCCTGCAAAATCCCCGATAGTAACCTACTAACCCTAAAAACCGCATCAACTCCTTCTTAGTAGTAGGAGACGGAAAGTGATCAATGGCCTCAACCTTAGCCCGAACTGGTCGCACACACCCCTGTCCAACTACCTTACCTAGGTAAGTCACAGTGCCCTTGGCAAACTCGCATTTAGCCAGATTGACGGTCAGGCCAGCCTCTTCAAGATGAGAGAACAGGGCTGCGATATGCTTCAAGTGCTGCTCCCATGAATCACTGAAAACTACTACATCGTCTAGATAGACGGCCACTCCCTCTAACCCAGAAACAACCCTATTCATAAGCCGCTGAAAGGTTGCAGGCGCATTTCTAAGGCCAAAACTCATAACGTTATAAGAGAATAACCCCTCCGATGTAATAAAAGTGGAAATCTCTTGAGCTCTCTTGGTCAATGGAACTTGCCAATAGCCTTTAAGCAGATCGAACTTGCTTACAAATTTCGCCGACCCAACCCGGTCAACACAATCCTCAATACGAGGCAGTGGAAATGAGTCTGGTTTTGTTACTCTATTTATTTTACGATAGTCGGTGCAAAACCGATAAGTACCATCAGGTTTATTCACAAGCAAGCAGGGAGATGCCCAACTAGAAAATGAAGGTCGTGCAATATCATGATCCAGCATATACTGCACTTCAGCGTTAAAATGCAGGAGTTTATTTGGGGACACCCGATAAAAATTCTGGCGAATGGGCTTCGAATCCCCAACATCAATATCGTGCTCCAACCAATGTGTACGCGAAGGTACATCACCAAATAAGGAAACATGATTATTAACAATATCAATCAAATCACCACATTTATCCTCAGGCAAATGAGCCAGCATTTTATAAAAATGTTTAAGAGTCTCTGAATTTTTTAAACGTCCCAATAGTACTGTATCATCTGGAAAAGAAACTCCCTCATCTATTTCCTCCCCCACAAGCGAAACTCTCTCAACTGCTAATGCAGGTTTCACCTCATCGTCTGACATCTTGTGAGAACGGCAATAATAGGGCTTCAACAAATTTACATGACACAACTGGGTGGACTTTCTTCTCTCTGGCGTGGCAATCAGATAGTTTAAGTCAGTAACTTGTTTTTCTACCACATACGGACCTGTAAACCGAGCTTGAAATGGGGAGCCCTCAACAGGTAGCAGAGCCAAAACCTGATCGCCAGGCATGAATTTCCGTTCCTCAGTTTGTCGATCGAAAATAGTCTTCATACGCTTTTGTGAAGAATGCAATTGTTCCTTTGCCACCTTACCTGCTTCATATAACCTACGCTTAAAATCATTCACATAACTTATCAAGTTTTTTGGTGGTGCACTTTCAAGTTTGGAGAGTTGTCGGGTGACGGGTTTTCATAAATGTCCACCCTTTTTTTTTTATGTTTCAGTTAATGAACGTGCCAAGTTCATTACAAAATAACCGAACGCAACAAAAACGCTTCCCAAATCACGTCGACAAATAACAGGAATTTTCAAAGGTTAGCAAACGAGCGGACGAGCCCCCATTTGTCACGGCCGGCTCGCAAGCCGCGACAAAGAAGGAGATGACACGTTAAAGTGGTATGCAAAAAGGAATAACATTTATTAAAGTAAAAGTAATAAAGTAAGAGACTAGACCAAAACGGGAACAAGACAACAACAAAATGGCACAAGGGGAGAGCGCGCCCGTCACGACCGAAGGGAGCTGCTTTAGTTTGCCGGCATCAGCTCTAGCACAGGTGTAAACCATCAGTCATCAATGACGTCACTCACTCCAACTCCAACCTACAAAACAGGTGACAAGGACAAGCGAATCCACACGATATGACCCACACTGGGGTCGTAACACAGGTAAAAAAAAAAATCTAAATTAACATATAACCTTGTATGAAAATACCATATGAAAAGTTAATGCAGGATGTAAAATGTTTTAAAACGACATAAGGGCACTAATTTAGTAGATAAAGTGAGCGTTTCTTGGACTGCTCTCGTAAAAACGGCTTTTTTTTTTTCAAAATCACGTCATTTTACGTCACGCTAGGGAGCCTCAGCCTCGGCTCAGTGCAGAGTAGGCTGGTATTCAGTGAGAGCGGCCGTGAGTCAGTGTGTTTTCGGTAGTTTTTTATTTTAATTTATCATCGTCATGGTAAATTATTGTTTGTGGAGGTTGCAAAAACTCCGGCCTGTCAGGACATCGAGTCCACAGGTTTCCATAACAAGAAAAGGGACGGTGTTGTATATCTTTCGTGCCTGATGCGGTTTGTGCAGGTGAAGAGACGGGATTTCTCTTCCGCATCGGCTTCGAGAACCGCGGTCGTGTGTACTTCAGATCGGAGGATTATCATCCCGGCGATATGATGGAGTTCAACATGGGATGCCGAAGCAAAAATATTGATCGTCTAATACTGTACCATTGGCATGAAATAGTGTGATATAGGTAGTCATGCCCTAAATAGAGGCAACTTGTAATTGAAAAACAAAATTACTCAGGTTGTTTAAATATTCAAATCTTTAATTTTCTGTTTATGTTATAACCCAGGTGAAAAATATGTATTAAAAATGTACTTGGGTATGTTTTTTGTACAATAGAAATATACTCAAGTATAGTTTTTATACATTTAATAGTATAAATCTACCCTAAAAATACTAATGTCTGCTGGCCTGATATACGATGGTAATAATCTGTACAATATTGTGAGCACAGTGTATATCGTTAGCGAACGTGTATATCTATAAGCACGTCTCTCACCAAGACACCTGTCCTGTTCTCCACTGGTTCTCACACCACAACTCATGGTTTCTCTGACCGTTCTGTCTGAGATTAGCCCTGGCCTGTCCTGCTCTCTTGGCAGCATAGCAGGCTCATAATTGTATGGCTGTGGTCCGTCATACGAGTAAGTACTTCCTCAGCGTCCGAAATGTCATTGCGATCCATTGTTTTCCTGTTGTTTGAATCGACCGCTCTCCCGCCCGTTACGTCACGCCCGCCACGCCCATTTTCAGACGCGGAAGTAAGATTTTCTCACAAAAACGACTCCAGAAGCTTCTGTAGCGTATTTATAAGTATATTTTAAAGAAAATCTAGTTCCTACATTATTTTTCTATACATTGACTCGTTGGGTCCTCTAACCTGCAATATGCCCTTTAAGATGGGAAAGCAGGGTCCTGACTTAACTGACTTAACCAGCTCTTGACTAAAACGGACTACCAGGTCAAACCCAGGTTCACCCAGCTGATCAACCAACTAGACCAGTGTTCCTCAAATGGTTGAGTTTGAGCTAAACTCAGCAATCCTGATCTAGACCAACCTGAACCAGACTGGGCCAGTTAAAAACGATGTTTCACTTTAACTAATTATCACTTTAACTCTTTAACCCAGGGTTCCTCAAATCCGGTCCTGGATTTGCCCTTGTCCTGCAGTTTAGTTCAGACCCTGATGAAACTCACCCATCTGCAATTTTCTATTAATCCTGAAGACTTTGATTAGCTTGTTCAGGTGTGTTTGTTTCGGGTTGGAAGTAAACTCTGCAGGGCAGGAACCCTGAGGAACCCTGCTTTAACCTGATTTCTCAACTGATTAATAGACCATAGTTTGGAAGCAGATTCAAAATAAAATAATTAAAAAGAATTAAATAAATAACACTGTAAATCAGACCCAGCTCTCATTTGCTCATTTTCTGACCCATGATAACGACATTCCCATCCTTGGTTTCATTAACCAGAAAAACTTGATTGTTGTGATAGCACTAAAAATCCAGTTTAGTTCTCACCTTTGGGAAATTGGTCTTGGAGTCGATGATGTAGCTCCAGTCTTTTCCATTCAAGCTGTGGGACAGTTTATACTTCCGCACAAAGGCCCGGTTCTCGGCACTGGTACTGCCGTCCACCCCGCGGGCCCCTTGCGTGATGATACCCCGTACGGTTTTGGGGACTCCCAGGTCCACCTGCAGCCATTCTTCACCGGCCACGGGCTGCGCGGGACTGGGGAACCATCCTGAGCGGCTGGCCACCAGCCGGGCGGCACCTGTGGCCCCGTGGATGTCCCTCATGGAGGAGGCTGAGATTTGAGAGTCTGGCAGGAGGCCGGAGAGCATTCCCTGCATCTCGGAGCATGGAGCGTCTGAACGGAGGATGGACAAGAAGATGAGTTATGGTGAAGCAAAGGGGAATTGACATTTTAAGGCTGGAGAGATCAATGTTTCATGTTGTTATGTCATGAGAGAGGCCTTAGGAGTAAATAATAAATAAACAGAGCATGTGAGGGTGTGTTTTTTTGGGTCTACGGAGTGGGTGTTTGTGTGTAGGATTTATTACAGGAAGAATTTCGTGTTCCAGGTTTGTTAGGTTCACCTCTACAGAGTTAAAAGCAAACCCACTCAGCCCAAAACAGCCATTCTCTGGCTCAACCGCCACAAATACAAAAGCTACCAGAAATAAATGATTGATTTTGGCCTATGGCTTAAACACAGAACAAAAGAACAGGAAAACAGGCTGGGGCATCTGGTTCAAGCCCATCCTAACAATCTCAGTTGAATTACACCCAGAGGTACACCCACACTCCTGACAGAAAGAGCAGTAAAACACAGATCGAGGCTAGCGGCACGAATGTGATCGATGGCTTCACAGGCATCTTTATAGGCTTGGCAGTGCCGGATATCCCGCGAGCCGAGCATCACTCTTTTGTGGGAAAGACAGGAAGGGCAGCGACAAGCCTCACTGAGAGCAGCTTGTTCTGGGCTGGATGCCCGAGGGACAACGGCCCCCGCGGGACTGCAGCAGGTCTAATATGGAGGCCAGTGGCGTGTCCGTACGTCGTTTGTGTCAGTGTTGAAAAAGACCCTGTCTCTAAAAGCGCATTTGTCCTGCTCAGTGTCGACGAAAATAGGAGCGAATCACTGTTTAATAGCGTAATGATGGAGTGTGATGTCTCTGATAACATCAGTGCAAAAGCAGCTCACCTCCTTCTTCTGCTGCAGGACATGCTAACAGAATTAGGTGACTGCTATCTCCCCATCTCCATAAATAACCAAACTCAATCAGGACCCTAAAGAGCTCTGATAAATACACATCTGAGTTCACTTGACAGGGACACAGTGGGCGTCTGGAACAATATTTGTCACGTGCTGTATCTGTGGGCCTGCTGCATATGAAAGTTCACGAGACTATCTATCTATCTATCTATCTATCTATCTATCTATCTATCTATCTATCTATCTATCTATCTATCTATCTATCTATCTATCTATCTATCTATCTATCTATCTATCATCTATCTATCTATCTATCTATCTATCTATCTATCTATCTATCTATCTATCTATCTATCTATCTATCTATCCATTCATCCATCCATCCATCCATCCGTCATTACTCCCTATCTACATCTATATCTTTAGTGAGGGAAAGAACAACAATCTCATGAAGCATTGCGAACAGCATAATCATATTAAAAACTATGGCGAAATATAAAACATATACTGTATTTTAATACACCCCGTATAAAATCAATGTTCAGTAAATTCTAAAAGTTAACAACCACAAATCAGTTCCCTTAAGGGCTGGTGAAAAATTTTAGATTGTGTATAGACTTGGAAAAAAGTTGTGTGGTGTGAGGTTTACTGACCCGTGATTTGACAGCCGTAAAGTTCGAAGCGTAAAGCGATTCCATTCTTCCATGCCTGAGGTCGGATGCGGACAAACCGAGCTAAGACTGGCTGAGGGATCCGGTTCAGGACCACCTCTGAGGGGTCTGCGTTTGCATGGAAAACCTAAGGGGAGAGAGAAAGAGAGAGAGAGAAAGAGAGAGAGACAGAGAGAGAGAGATTTACAACTATTCAGGAGGTGGTTTGGCTGAGGCCACTCATTCAAAACAAACTAACCTCGCAAACAAGCACAAACTCTCACACAGTAAGAGCTTCTTTACTGGGGTCAAGTGAGATTGTGACCTTAATCGCTGTCAAAATACACACACCAATGACTACACACATAGACGCCAATGTTAGCATAGTAAATTCAAACTTGAAATGCTGTTTCCTCCAGAATGAGTTAAAGACCACAGACATGGGTGAGAAAGTGTGGAGAGTGTTTGAAAAATCAGTTGTCAATCTATGGGCTTGAATGTTGTCACATAAAGACATAAGACCAGGCGCTACCACATGTTTTTGGGCGTTGTCATCGTTTGCATCAGTGTGTCAGATGTTTAGTATGTCAGTAGGCAATTCACAGGGTATCATAGAAATATGCCATATGCTTCAGTCACTGCATCTTGGGATGGTGAGGATGGACAAGATGACAAGCTCTGATAGAAAATCTCCATCTCTCCTTCTTCCTCAGAGACGTGAGGCTCTGTCAGGATCTTTGTCTCCAGAGAGAGGAAGTAGGAAAGAGTAGAAGGACCAGAAGAGGGCGAGTCCTGCTCCACTGCACACACAAAAAAACAAAGCCTGGACCCTAAGGACCTGACCCGTCTCAGGATCCAATGACATCCGGGCCAGCTGGCCTGGGTCAGGTCCGTCCTAGGCTGGCTTGTGCGGAGAGTGAAGGAGGAGATTAAAGGCGGATTAGAAAAAATGAGAAGAAAAAACCTTCCAACCTTTGGTAAATTGCCTCAATATATCATAAAATAAAAGTAGGAAACTATGAACTGAGGACCTGTGGTCATTAATCATTGTGCATATGTTTAGTTAAAAGCAGTGGAGACCTGGGGCAATTGTTCAATTTTTCACATATTCCATCATAACTCACAGATTGCTACAAATATACCTGCCATCTTTTGGTAAATGAAACATTTATATGTGGCAATATTTATAAAACTAATAAAATATTAACAATGCAAAAGATCCAATCACAATATTGAAATATAATATAATAACTCAGGAAGAGATAGATAGATAGATAGATAGATAGATAGATAGATAGATAGATAGATAGATAGATAGATAGATAGATAGATAGATAGATAGATAGATAGATAGATAGATAGATAGATAGATAGATAGATAGATAGATAGATAGATAGATAGATAGAAGACGAGTGAAACCTTGGGAAAAAGTGTGTGTGAGGAGAGAGAGATGCTTTAGATTAATACGTAAGTGTGTAAAGCTGTGGTCAGTAGGAAGACGCAGACATGCATAGCAGAAATCTGCTTTTGTTTAATGACCTCATGATGGAGTGTGTGACCTTTCCCCTTCACTGCCTCTGAAGTTTTTCAACACAGCACAGTATCTGAGAGCCAAGTGGTGTGTGTGTGTGTGTATGTGTGTGTGATGACTGGGGGCAAGCAGTGTGTAATATATCATCTCTTTAGTGTGTGGGAGAGTCCTATTTCTCACGATTCACTGACATAACCTAACACACACCCAGCACTTCTGAACAAAACAAACGCAGCTAGATCAAGAAGCCTGTGAAATATGAAATATTCCGGATACGTACTCATCGCAGTTGTATTATTTTAGTATTATTTATATACTATTAAATTATTTATTCATATATGAAACTTATATTTTAATATATATATATATATACCCCCATACTATAATTACATCAAGCATCATGTGGTTTTACTATTACTTTTCTAACCAGATCTATGATCGGCAAAAAACCCCAAAAAACAGTCTTGTATAAAAATGTTAGTTTACTGTTGTCCTTTGACTGGACGGCTCCCTTTCCTGGCTTTTGATTATCCAACCTGTTTAATCCAAACCAGCAGGAAACTAAGAGCTCTGAGACTACAGATGAACAGATGTATATCACATGGGATTTGGGACAGAAGGAACACTGGTCATTATGGATAAAATTCCAAGCACAAAGAAGAGAATATTAACCATGAAGATGCCAAAATGATCAAAAAGCACAGAAGAAACTAAAAGGCATAACAGGATTGAGCAGTCCAATTACTGCGAGGACGTTAGGGAGCAGGCTGAGATGAAGCTGAAGAACTGTGATTTCCCACTGGTCCTCTAAGACAGAGGAAAAGGGGAAGCGAGAGGAATGACAGAAATGACAAAGTCTCGGATTCTGACAGCAGCAGTCAATCTATAGTGGAGGTGGAGTCCAATACTGCTTCTAGCCAAACATATATTAGCGATATGAAACTATACGTTTGTTGTTCCCTTCGCTTTTTCCCACACACGTGCTCACCTGCTAATGTTTTCTTTTCATCCCTGAGCTACAACGGCCTCTGACTGGTGTTGTGTTGACAGACACACAGGTGCTGGTAATGACAGACTCCCACACACTGAAACAGGAGAACTGCTGTCAACCCTGCTGTCACGGGCCGTCTACTGATACAAGCCCACCCTCGCACCCGTTCCCTCTATTTTTTTCCCTCACACCGTCGTTTTTCCTGTTGTTTCTCTCTCACTATGCAGCGTAATCTTTGATTGATGCACTCTCTGTGTGTGCAGGCATGCCTGTAGCCAGAGACATAACAAATGGACACTGCCGTCATCGGAAGGTTTATGCTAAATTACTTTCATGAATCATGCATTTGCGTACGTTACTTATATCACGTTCCCTCCGGCACGGCTGCTAGTGTTTCCCAGCATGCAGTCTGTGGGGAGTAGCAGGTATGTGCTGTCTGTCTCAGGTGATGATGTTTTGTATGTGAGTGCGCTTTTGAGTATATTTGGTGCTATATACAAGCAGACTTTTTTCACATTTTTCTCCTATACTATTATGCAGAGGGTATTTACACATAGTAAAATGTGTTAAACAAAGCTGAGAGTACTCTTATTGGCAGATGAAAGCATTATCAAACTAGATAAATTTTGATATAAACAATATTAAAAACATAGACAAAAAAGGATCTGGGAAGTGTAGAACTAAACGTCATAGAAATTGCCGCCTCTGTTGATACGCGAGTTTGGAGTTTTGATGACAGAGAAAATCCTATAAGTAGTGATGGGCAAGTTGATTTTTGTTGTTGTTGGACACTAATGGAATTATCTGTGTTATTCATACAAAACTCAAGCTGAGGTAATCAAACGGATCCATGTCGATAGACCTAGCATCTAACAGGTCACCATGATTTTGCCAAGTACAAGACATTGTTCCTAGATCAACATATTATGTTGATCCTGGAACAACATTCCTGTCCGAAAATGTAACCCTAACCCTAACCCTATCCCTTCCCCTAACCCTATACCCACAACTCATCCCTATACGTGAATAACACAGATGTAGAAGCACCTAACCCTGGATTGTAAGCCTAAACTTGACATAAACTCTAAACTTGTCCCTCAAATATGATTATTAGATTGTAATGGTGTTTTAGGATCAACAAAAATGTTGATCCAGGACCATGTTGCACTTGGTGAAATCACCATTTCCGCATCTAACACCATTGTGGTATCAGTACTAGACGCTAGCTAAACAACTACTGAATGCGCTTTTAATATTTAACTCTTTCCCCGCCATTGACGCAATTTTCCGTCAATCCCCACCATTGACACCATCATTTTCTGGCTTTCCGCGTTTTCACCATTATACGGTAGGGGGCGCTATTACACATCTTCTGAAAGAGTACTGAATCTCCTCATCAAAACACAGGTGAAAAAGAAGCAGAAACAAGACTGATATCATATATACAGTAAACATATGCATATTTTGAAATAACGCGATCATCCACATTAAACAGCATATAAATCAAAACGGCCTAATGTTAATGAATGAAATGTCGACCCAGGACGAGCTATAGGACTGTGAATCTTTGGGGGTGTTGATGGATAATCTAATTCTGAATCCCATCCAGATGTACTCTTTGACAAAAACACAAAATGTTGCTTTTTTGTTTTACAAAACGAGAATGCATTAATCTATAATAAATGTTTTTGCTTAAAAGCAGACGGTCTTGCCTTTCTGTTGATAAATTGCATGTTCAGATATTCCTACAACAAAATAGTCTGGGGGTCAAGACATTTTAATTTTAAAATATAGTCAATATAGTACATATAATATAAAATCAACAGTTACTTTGCAACGGTACTTTACTGATTGTTTCAGAAAATCTTTGGAAACCTTTGGAAAAGCCAGTCTTTTTTAAAAAGAGGAAAACTCCATATCCCATGTATGATCAAGCACAGCTTTAGTAAAGGATAAACTAAAGAGAATGTGTTACGCTCGTGGGTTGAAGCGTAAAGATGGATCTGAAACTGATCACAGAAGAACAACCAGCAAAGCATATTGAGCTCTAACTTCTACAAGAGGGTTGGGGTGATTCCTCCCTGTTTTCGTTCTGTGTGAAAGTGAGCACTCATTTCACTCTCTCCCTCGCTCAGTCTCTCTTATGTTCTGACTCTGTGCCCACATGTGAAAAATGACTGACACGAGTAAAGTGTTTCCTCCTAAATGTTATATGCCTACTGACCTGATGTCAGCAGGACACGGCAGATTTTGTTCTGATGTAAGAACCATTGATACAAATTCAGAGATTTTCAGGAAATATATTCAGGAAAATACAAACCTTATTTTACTACATTTTCACACATATCTATTTCTTTTGCCCTGGCTGATTATATTCACTTAAGATATAACCGGCTGTGTTTATATTCAAACATTCACAGTAAAAAACTGGTCTGCCCTGGTCTATTATTATATCACGCAATTCAACTTGTTCATTTTGCACAGTCCTGTGAGTTACACGGATATTTAGCCAAACTTTAGGAGCACAACTTATAACTAAATAAATCAGGCTGAGACTATGAGGAATGGTTATTGAAATACTGTACGTCATGGAGATGCAAGGGACTTCTAATATGATCATACAAC